TTGCAATAAGTGAGAAATAAATGTAAGCCAACTGTAGTAAATATTATTAGTGCTCATTACATAGAGTGACCTCTCTTTAGGATCACAGAAAAACTTTCTAGACATCGTTACAGTTAATTAAGAGGCTGTGACAAGTCTTGGGCAATGAGCTGTGAGTAAAAATGAACTAAGACACTTTGTATCTTATACAATTAAGAATATGAGTTTTCCATTGTTTTGCTTCCTCTGATGCAGCAACGCTGGTAGCTATGTCTTCCAGTTGGCTTACCAACAAAATGGAAGCAGCCTGGATCCCTGAGCTGCCACTTGAAAGAAAAGCATTCTATAATCCTATTATAGAAAAGTCTTAGTCTTTTAGTAGACCTGTGCCCCTCAGCTGTGACCTTCACAAGTGTTTCTTGGCTTCTTTTTCCCTTTGGATGGACGAGAGGGCTAGAGAGAAAGGCTGTTGGGGATTTCCCTTCTTTCATGTTGATTAGGCTCTGGTAAAGCAGTTTTTCTCTTGAGAATGAAAACCTCTGGGAATATTTCAAAATAGTTACTTTTTCCCCTCCCTCCTGCTAGGACTCTCTTTCACCTTGAGAATCCAGTGAGGTTTCTAGAGGTAAAACTCACAAAACTGGGTTGAGGTTCCCCTAACCCTGAGCTCCCAGGGATTTTTAACTCTAAGTCAGTTCACACTTAGCCTTCAGTGGTACATGAATTACAGTTCTTTTTCCTACTAGATCTCAGCTCCAGTGGTTTTGGATCCCAGTAAGCTACAATTCTCTTATTTGCCTCTTTTTCAATTGTCAGGGCATTGATTTGCTCTGTGACCTAAATTTTCTGATGGATCTAATAGGAGTTTTTGGTTTTCAGTTTGTTCAGCTTTGTTGTTATTGTAAGGATGGGAATGACAACATACAAATTCCTTACATATCAAAGAGGAAACCAGAAGTCTCCACAATATCGTTTTTAATTGCTTAGCATGTGTTTTTCCCACATGAATGCAAAATATTTGAGAGCAGAAATCATAGTCCTTTTATCTCCTTTTATCTCTAGATTCCCGATGTGTTCACTGAAAATTCTTCAGGCCTCAACTCAAACACAGACCTTCTTACCTGCTCTTCATCACACATTAAGTTATCTTATCTATACTTCTAGCTTTACATACCACACTGACAATTCCAAAAGTTGTACCTACAGCCAATCTGTATCTCTCCTTCACAGTTGGCTAATTTATAGACATCTTAAAAACTTTAAAAGTTGAAAACTTAAGCTTTAGTTTCTACTGCTAACCTGTTTATCCTTTCTTCTTCTTGATCACAGTTATGGCATCACCACCCAATTTGTTCTTCCAATCAAAATATGGCAGTCATCTTTGAGCCATTCTCTTCCTTACTACCTCCCTCTAAATCTACTCCACAAACATCATGTCATTTCAACCTCCAAATATGTCCCACACCTACTTTCCTACTTCTTCACATAATTAACCTGATCCAAGTCATCATGATCTCTAGCAAAGTCCTTCATGAAATTTAATAGCTTTGCTCTCTCCACTTCTATTCTCACTCTACTCATAGAACAGCCAGATTGATCTTTATACATAAGTTGAATCATTGATCCCATTTTTTAAAACTTTTCAGTATTTCCCATTTATACTGAGACTTAGATCCAAACCCCTTATCATTCTCTATAAAACCACTGTCCTAAATTCTACCTCCAGAACCTCATCTCCTGCCACACTCCCTCTTGTCCACTATATTACAGCCACACTAGACTTCATTGTGTCCCTCAGATCCTTTGCTACCTAAAGACTTTAACATATGACGTTCTGTATGCTAAAAACACTTCCTCTTCACAATTTTTCTCACTAAAAGACCTCATAACCAAAGACGATTTTATTATATTAAGTGGTCACCTAATGCAGATGATTCAAATTTTAGATGTTCCTAGTATTTTTAAAGTATATTTATTATGTATTATATCATAAATAAAACTGCTATCATGTGAAATTTCAAAACAAATCCAATTGATTAGACTTGTTTTGCTCTTTACATGTAATGTGTATTATGCTGTCTTTATACAAACTGTCCCTCATTTTGATACTGACACAAAAAATAGTGAAAGAAGAAAAACTTAAGTTAAAATTATTTAATTTGTAAACTGAGTAATTTCTGCAAAGGTTGACTTAATTGACAACTGAACAAATGGCTCAATCAATTTTCTATGCCTCAAAATTACATAAAGTCAAAGTTGGATACACTGTTCTACTTATACCTGCAATCACATGAACTACCCAAATCAAAATTAGTAAATTGTCATATTACTTTAAAAAACAACAAAATAAACAGACCCCAAAAATACAGACCTCAAGACACTGACATTATCATGGCTTTGAAAAACCAAAAAATGGGATTTATATAAATTCATTAAAGTGAAACTATTCAGGGAATATTAGATTTTTGATACTGATAGAATATTTACTTACTCTATTATGAAAATGCTGACACAGAGGTATGAAAGAATATTAAGTCCTACTTTTTAACATTTATAAATTAAAATGAATATCCAGAATTCAGATCTTAGAAATAATTTTATAGATGAATGACTAGAAGATGAACAGACAGGAAGTTACTCCATTCAAATGAGAGTCAAAAAAATGAGAATGACCCAGAAAGAAGTATTAGAACTCTGAGATGAATTAAAAGAGAAGATTCAGAAGCAACCCTGGTCTATGGATCAGAAAGATAAAAGCAAAGCTCCTAAAAAATGAATGCCAAAAATCTTTGTGTAACAAGAACATAAGATGAAGAAGGAAATTATTGAGAAAATACATTAATTCTGCATTTTAAAACTGCATAAATCACAGAGCAACAAGAATGAATTAGCTGTCCAAGATACTTTAATAGAAATAGTATCTACTAATCAAGAATTAATTTTTAAAACATCTGAAAGTTTTAGTCTTTTCTCCTACCATCTTCCCATTCAAAAATTATGCAAATTGAATTATACTTATTAATGGAGTAAAGCTATTTCTTCTCAAGTTTGCCTTGATCTTTATTTTTTATTTATGCCAATCAAATTGAAGCACTTTATTTCAATAGTCAGAGATGACTTTTTAGTTACTAACAAAATACCTATTTTATTTAATGCACACTGTAATCTACTACATGATATAACTTAATCTTTATTATTTCTAAAACTTACAAAGACACATAACTGAAATCACTTAAAATTCAGGCAAAGTTGCTTCTAATTATGTTTTGCTATTGATTTTATGCAAGTTTCAGAGCTTTAGAGAAAAATTAGCAAAACAGTATGTGTGCCATATTAATACAACTTCTAATAAGAAAATTAATTAATTAATTTCTGTCCCTGTGGCACAGTATTATTATACCATAAAAGGATAAACATGCAAAATCACTTGTGAAGAAATATTTACTGAGTTCCTACTATGGATCAGGCATTCCGCTAGATGTCAAAGATAAAACAGTAGACAGACAAACCGAGCCTTAACTTCAAGTAATTTAAACACAGTAACAGTTCCCCCTTATCTGTGGTTTCACTTTCCCCAGTTCCAGTAACTTGTGGGCAACTGCAGCCTGGAAGCAGATGATCCTCCTGACTAATTGTCAGAAGGTCAATAGTAGCCTAATGGCATGTCACAATGGACATTTTATCATCTCACATTATCACAAGAAGAAGGGTGAGTATAGTACAAGATATTTTGAGAGCGAGACAATACTCACATAACTTTTATTACAATATATTGTTATAATTGCTGTTTTATTAATAGTTATTGTTGTTAATCTCTTACTGTGCTTAATTTATAACAAACTTAATCATAGATATGTGTGTAGGAAAAAACATAGGATTATTTAAGGTCCAGTACTATCTTCAGTTTCAAGCAACCACTGGGAGTCTTGGAAAGTATCTCCTGCAGAAAAGGGGGACTACATATCACAACATAAGTTTCACTTCAGTTGAAACTGAAACACTGACAAAATTTTAAACAAAATACATACAATGTAACATAAAATGGATGAGGGGATTACTCTCATTAGTAACAACACAAAAAAAGACGTTTATCTTCTAGTTTACACTAAAGGCAAAATGTGAATGTTTTTCTGAATATTTTATCTTAGTGTTCGTAGTACTCATTCTCATTCTCTCCTAGTGTTGGTGGCACCTCTCAGTCTGTCCATTTCTACAACCAAACCGTCTTCTACACAGACATAACTCCTACTTTTAAAAAGCACAGAGGTTGAGTGGTAAGAGCATTTTCAGTAATATGTCAGTTATGGAGAGACTAGAATTTAAATACATGCAGTCTTTCTCACATTCTCAGTTACCTCCACTTCGTAACATAAATAACACTGCACAAAGTTAAAAAAATAAAAGTGTAAAGAATTCTTTAATGAATGTATTCGAATCTGTTGACAAGTAAAATAAATGTAATTTTTTTTAACCTTCAGGTCAATGTGAGAAAAAATTGCTGCAGTTCCCAAATTGTAACGTTCAGTGAAAACAGGATTCAGTGATCGAATAACTTTAGTAAACACTATGTGTTCTAACACCTTTGGAGCATACTTAGACACTCACAAGTATCACAATAAAGAAACCTCCTAAATCTTTTTTAAAAAACACCTTTCCAAAGCTATTTAACCAAAGACTGAATTGGGGGTTAACTGCTCTTAATATCCTCTGAGTTATTTTTTAAAGAAACGCACTTTGGAATATATTGCATTATTGGAGTAAGATATTTTACTAGAGAAATACAGTTTACATTACTTATAAAACTGGGGGAAGGATCACCTTTTCGTTTTTACTACACTATAACTTATCATTCTTTCCTTTTTAGACTTCCACAGAATAATTAAAGGTGAAAGAATCAAACTCATAACCTAAAGATTTCCATTTCTAAGGAATACTATTCCAAGGGCAGTATTTTTAACATACTCTTCAGTATGTTACACTATCAGAGAGAGTATTTAATCTATATAGATCAGCTTACTTACGTCTGGGGCTCCTTTTCATTTTGTTGTTTTTGCTGGGGCTGAAGAACGTTATTTACCAGTTCAGTGATCCCACTAAAGGGAAACCACCTGTTTAAATAAGCAAATAATGTGACTGAATAACCAAATGAATAACAAGGTATGTCAAATGTTTTCTTTACCATAATAATAAAAATACAAAAAATACAGGCACAAAAGCTACAGCCAATGGAAATGTGAGCTCTAATTACCATCCAGGCAAGTCAGAATGTAGGGAAATTAAATTTGAACACTTAACCAGTCCACAAGCAGGCAGCAAAAAACTACATCCAGTCATTATGTGGATGAAGAAGCTGCGGGCAGCTCTCTTACAAGCCAGAGAGTCAGAAAGCAGAAGACACACTAGCTGCAGCCTATCCAGTATTAGTGTAAGCTAATACCATCCAAGGTGCAGAAAGCAGAATGTGGCAAAAGGTACAGAAGTCAAGCCTACTGCACTCTTTACACATTTACTTACTGTGTCGGTTGTGGTTTGTGTTCTTCTTTAACCCTAAAAAGATAAGTTTGCACAACTGAGTGCATTGTACTAGATAGAATTTCTATCTACAGATTTGTGGTCATATAAAAATGAAAATGAAGTTTGTTACAAAGAAAAGCTTCATGCTTTGCTATATATTGGAATTACACATTTGAATTAATTTAACACAAAATACAGGAGTCATTTGTTTTTAATAGAGGGTGGATATTAAACTCTATTGCTGTTATATTAAAACTCTACTGCTCAAATGATTTCATAATTTAGTGCTCAAGTTTTCTGCATACTGTTACTGACACTAATGCTTTAAAAATAACTATTTTAGAGTATCATTTTAAACACAGTTACATTTGGTTAACCGAAGGTAAATAGATTTCCTCTTTACTTTTTAAATTTCTGCCTTAATATAAATTGAAGTAAACACATAAATATTTTAAATAAAATATAGGGCATTACAAACATATTTTACAAGTCTTACAAATGAATTTATTTACAGCTTAAAGGAGCAGATAAAGGAATTGGGGGTTATGTATCCAATTTGCCTAAAAATAGCTACTAAAATAAGTATGTATACTAAATTTAAAATATCTATAAGCTAAAGTAAATTATCCATATAACTATAAAGGACTAAAAATTCACTTAAACTATAATCAATTCAGTGCTTCACTAACACAGCACTGGATATTTAAAAGGTAGAAAAAAATCATACACAAGGGTTTATACATCTGAAATTTGGCTTCTAACAGTTGGCCCGAGACTGATTCTGAGAGGTAAACCAACGTTTCGGTGATGAGCTTATTAACTCTTACTTTCCCAGAGGAAGAGTAAGAATTGGTAGCTAAAATTGGTCACCAAAATCTAGAGCTTTCATCAGGAAAATATATTAACACTGTAAATTAAATCTCTTTACATCAAATTGATTCCCATGTCCAATGTGTCCCTATTTTTAATGATATAAGCAATAAGTGACAGGTACATTATTGTATACAATATATATAGCATAAATATAATTGGCAATTATATATCTCAAAAATATATTAAAAAGGAGTATCTTGTGCTCTCTGCATAAACTTCAAAAAATGTAACAGTCATTCTACAGCTAAAGACAAATCATTTAGTATTTAAATAAATTCATATAATGGATTAATAACAAAAGATTGTATTTAGCACCAAATATCACAAGCAAACTATAGTGACACTGGACTCTGTCTGAAAATTAATCATTGCTTTTCCTTGAGGATAAGACGAAAATCTCTTAACAGTTTATAACAAAGCAGATCCTATATAGATAATGACAAAAAAAAATACTAGTTCACGAAAGATACTAGCTTACCATACTAGCTCACCAAAATGGAGAGAATAACTCAAGATTACCCTTTACCAAATATTATATATTTGTATATATAATGTTGTATATTAAAAACAACAAATATTGAAATAATATTCAAATGAGAAGATATATGTTACAGAAGTTCTGGTTGATACTCTGCAAGGAATCATGTTGTTCTTAATTAGTGACAAAGCTTTTAACAAATAAAATGACATTAAAGTACAAATTAAATTCTAATTTCAAAATCTTTACTTGAAAAAATTAAGAGCTATAAGAATTTTAAATACCAATTCAGGAATTATTTCTGGGTTTTGTAAAATATTTCATATATATGAAATATTCAAATGCATATATCAGCATCCCAAATCAAATATGTATCATAATATGATAGTAAAAATATTTATCCTGTCTTTAAAACAATCCAGAGTTCAATTGACTCTTGAACAAAATGGGTTTGAACTTCATGGGTCCACTTATGCATGAATATTTTTCAATAAATACATTGAAAAAATTTGGGGGGGACTTACAAACATTTGGAAAAACATTTTTAACTACCTTACTTTATTGTAAAAATACAGTATATAATACATATACAATATATGTATTAACTGTTTATGTTATTGTTCAGGCTCTGGTCAACAATAGGCTATTAGTAAAGTATTGGAAGAGTTAAAAGTTTTATGTGGTTTTTCAATTGTGTGGGGATTCAAGGCCCTAAACCTCATGTTTTTCAAGGATAAATATAAAAAATTATTCTCCTTCTTCCCAATACTTTACATAAAATCAAACCTCAAAGTATCTCACTATAAAAATGTTGAGATAATTTATAAACTGTTAATACAGAAGTATAATTATATCATGTATTTCTTTGAAAATACACTAACATTACTGACAATGAACCCCTATATTTCTATATCCCCAAAAGTGTATGAGGGGCTTCCAGTTTCCAGTCTGATAACATAAAAAGCTTGGAAATCGGGGCTCTCTTGTCCCCTCCTGGCATGAGCCAGGAGCTCTTTCCTCTCACTGTATCTCTAAATAAATGCCTCTACCCTGGCTCTCCTGAAAAAAAAAAGCTTGGAAATCATCACTCCCATCCTTATAACAAGAAAAAAACTGAACAAACTTAAAATCAACAACTCTTCTCATAGCCATCAAAGAATTTAGATCACAGGGCAAACTGCTGTCCTCAAATATAAAGAAACAAACAGTGGATGCAGAGCATCACAGTTTACCAGGAATAGAGGACCAAGGTAGAAGCCCAGACCCTGGAGCCAGTATCTGCAGGAAAACTTTTAACTATAATTGACCTATTCCTAGAGGTTCAATGTGGACTAGATTGAGAAGTTAAAATTCCAAAAGGTTCCAGTCTTAGGCACACCACCACACTTCTATAAATTTTACCTGTAGGAGCCTTACCAGTTGTTCACTGAAAAACCAGAGAAAAATTTTTCTGTGCATGCAGCAGGGGAAAGGGAAAGTAACCATTTGAAATACTCCCAAAGCTCTTTACTGTCCTTATCAATTCTAAAGTCAAAGGGAAATCTTTTTTTAGGGTCAAACCACCCAGGACTTCACCAAAACCAAACAAGCCTGAGGAAGGTAAATACTCAATAATATTCTCCTCTAGCCTTTGATGTGGGAAAAGGAAAATACCAAACCACAGCCCACTCTAGCCATGGGGGAAGAGGAGTAGCAAAGTCAGACTCACTAAAAGACTGAGACCTACTGCATCGAAAAGAATAAAATACCTAGGAATAAACCTAACCACAGAGGCTAAAGACCTGGACTCTGAAAACTATAAGACACTGATAAGAGAAATTAAGAAAGATACAAATAAATGGAAATCTACCCATGCTCATGAATAGAAAGAATTAATATTGTCAAAACTGCCATTGCCCAAAGCAATATACTTATTCAGTGCAATCCCTAACAAAATACCAACAGCATTTTTCAATGGACTGGAGCAAATGATCCTAAAATTTATATGGAACCATGAAAGATTCCCCAATAGCCAAAGCAATCCTGAGAAAAAAGAACAAAGTTGGGGGTATTATGCTCCCCGGCTTCAAGGCATACTGCAAAGCCACAGTAACCAAAACAGTATGGTACCAGTACAAGCACAGAACCATAGATCAATGGAACAGAATAGAGAGCCCAGGGGTAAACCCAGGCATATATGGTCAATTAATATACAATAAAGGAGCCATAAATAAACAATGGGTAAAAGATATTCTCTTCAATAACTGGTGTTGGGCAAACTGGACAGCTACATGCAAACTGGACAGCTACAAACTGGATTACTGTCTAACTACACACACAAAAGTAAAGTTGAAACAAATTAAAGACCTACATGTAAGACATGAAACCAAAAACTCTTAGAAGAAATCATAGGCAAAAATGTCTTGAACATAAGCATAAGCAAATTTTTTCTGGACACATCTCCCCAGGCAAGGGAAACAAAATAAAAAATTAACAAGTGGGACTACATCAAACTAAAAAGCTTCTGGACAGCAAAGGACACCATCAATGGGAGAAAAAGGCAGCCCACAGTAGGATAGAAAATATTCATAAGTAATTTATCCAATAAGAGGTAAACACCCAAAATATATAAAGAACTCATTAAAAAATGGGTAGAGGACCTGAACAGACATTTTTCCAATGAAGAAATACAGATGGCCAACAGGCACATGAAAAGATGCTCCGTATCACCAATCATCAGGGAAATGTAAATCAAAACCACAATGAGATATCACCTCATACCAGTTAGAATGCCCACAAGGTGCAGCCACTGTGGAAAACAGATTGGAGGTTCCTCCAAAACTAAAAAGAGAAATAGCATATGACCCACTAATTCCACTTCTAGGAATTTACCCAAGAAAAACAAAATCCTTGATTTGAAAAGATATATGCACCCCTTTGTTAAATGCCACATTATTTACAGTGGCCAAGATATGGAAACAACCAAAGTGTCCATTAACAGATGAATGGATAAAGAAGATGTGGTACATATACACAATGTAGTATTATTCAGACATAAAAATAAAGAAATCATGACACTTGTAACAACATAGATGGACCTAGAGGGCATTATGCCAGGTGAAATAAGCCAGGCAAGGAAAAACAAATACCATATGATTTCACTTATGTGTGGAAATGAAAAACAAAGCAAAATGAGCAAAATAGCAGTAGATTTATAGACCCTGAGAAGTGAGCAGAGGTTACCATGGGGGAGGGGTTGGGGTTGATGGGTGGGGAGGGTAAGGATGATAAAGGGACACAAAAATTCTCAATCATACTACAAGTTGGTCATGCTGATGGTAGGACAGCATGGAGAATACAGCCAATGATTCTGTAACATCTTCCCATGTTGACAGATAGTAACTGCACTAGTTGGGGTGAGGATTTAAAAATGTGTGTAAGTGCTGAACCACTGTTATATACTTGAAATCAATATAAGATTGTATATCAACTATACTTCAATTTTAAAAAAAGATAGTACTATTGTGAGCAACATCAGCAAAAATATCTGAGTAAGAACCTCCAAAAGTTACCTACTTCACAAAGCAGTAAGAAAACTGGCAAAATTGTCAGAATCAACTTTTTCAGAAATCAGGAGATTAGCCAAAAGCTTACAGCAACAAGGAACATTTATTCTACAAAAATGGGTGATTTCAGAAAGAAC